GAGCACGCTCTAGACAAGACAGATGCCCCGGAGGTGCCTGCTGTCAGCGTTCATCCCGAAGCTCCACCACTTCCTGTGAAAGTTCTGGAACCTCCGTTCCCTCATCTGTAAGAGCGCGAAGAGGACGTGCCCGGCTCCTCTGCACCTTCAACACTTTGACGGGTCCCTAGCGTGGCCTCTGCGTTGTCTATTGCTTCCGAGGCTTGTTTTTTAGGATTCTACTTCTCCGTGACGCTAGCCTTTACACACCTGCCTGCCCATTTGTCAGCAGCATCTGCACAGCTGCCTGGAACCCAGTGTGGCCTCCAGTGAGAAGAAGGAAAACTGGGAAGCGTGGCCGCTGCAGCGACATGTCTCACCCTCCCACTAGGGGGCAGTGCAGGACCTTCAGAAAGGCGGTGGGGACCCTGGTCCTAAATCCCGCCTGGGAGCTGAGTGCCTTGGAGCAATTCTACTCTTAATCTTCCTAAATCCTAGCCTCCCCACCTCCCATCTCCCAGGATGGAGAGCGGGAGGACACCTCCCAATACCATTAAATTCCACAAGAGAAAAGCTGACCCCCAAAGACCACTGTCATCCATCCCACAGGATTACTAGCCGGTGAGGTAATTGTACAACGTGCCCGGCGTGTCCACAGTAGATGCTCAACAGCTGGGTACTCCTGCTCCTGCGGGAGCCTGGGTGACCCTGCACCCAAGGGAGATTTATTCAGTAATGTCTGGAGACATGGCTGGGGCCACACTTGGGGGACTGGGTGCTAGTGGTGTCTAGTGGGTAGGGGCCGGGGACCCCGCTAACCGCCCTATCACGGACAGCCCGACACAAAGAATGGCCCGGCCCACAGTGTCAGCGGCGCCGAGGCCGAGAAACCCTGTTTCCTCCCAGTGGACCCTGGAGGCCAGAAAATGTCGGGCCTATTTCTACATCTTCCTCAGGGCCTGCTGTGCAGCGGACAGGCAATAACCGAGTGTAGGACTGACTTGAAAGGCCAACAGTGGCAAAAAGGGTGGCACAGATATGGGGGGTGAGGCCGTGGGTGGCAGGACAAAAGGCCTAATTGTTCCAGAGCGGGGTCACGTGCCTAGCTGCATGGGCACGGGGCTTCCAGAGAGAGGAGCTGGATTTGCAATAACGGAACTGCTTCCTAAGCATCCTCGCCGGATCGCGTTAAATGCTGGCCATCGAGGGGACCCGTTAAGGGCTTTGTAAAAAAAGAGTACCCCCTCCGGAGCCTGTGCCCCAGGACGTGGTCACGGTGAACTGGGCCTGAATTGGGGATTCCCTGTCTCCTAAAATCCCAAGGACGTTCCTCCCACCTCCAACCGCATGCGAAGGGCTTGGCGTCTTGCGAGTGCTCAGGAGGCACCAGCCCCTGCTCTGGCCACCAGCACTGAGGTCACTCCTTCCGGCCTCCGGCCTCCGTCTCCCCATCTGACACGGAGGCTGACAGCCAGCCCACAGGGGACAGAGGCAGAGTTCACGGTGTCCATTCCCGCCATCTCTGAGATTCTCCTTAGAAAACACCCAGAGGGCCCTCCCCAGGACAGACCAGGACCCATAGGTCCCAGGGGAACCTTCAGGAGGCCCCCCACATCCCACGGCTCCAGGCGCCATCACCGCCCACGTCACCGGTCAGCTCCCCGGTCAGCTCCCCAGGAGAGAGGGCTGTCCTGGAGGCTGTCATCTCCTGCCTGACGGCTGATGACAGGACCAGCGCTGTCAACCCAGGTCCAGCCCTGTTCTGCCATCAAGGGGCCAGGGATGCTGCAAACATCCTGAGGACCCACAGGCTCAGGGAGGAAACGACGGAGGGGGACGCATTGGTCTTGATGCCCCAAGAGCACAGAGGCTGCCTGGGGAGAATGGCTGCCCCTTGGTAGAGGCACCCACGTCTTCATCTAGACCCCCCCCCCCCAAGTCCCAAGTTCGCTTCCCCTTCCTTCTGCCCAGAGCCTTCCCTTTCTCAGTGTATCTCCATCGGTGGGAGGGAAGGCTGCCTCCTGGTGCTGGTAACGGCCCCCAGCCCTGGGGAGGCCCTCCCTCCACCGCGAGAGAGGCTTCAGCAAGACCAGAGCCACCCGCTTGCACCCTCCCTGCCCCAGAGCATCCGCACCAGCCACACACGCACACGCTGCAGACTTTGCAGATGTTTTTATTATTAATATTTATCTTAAACATCCCTTTAAGGGTGAAATGAAATCCAACCATTTACAGAGAAAATGATTTCAGAATGTACATATTGATTTTCTCTTACAAAAGAAATAATGGTGTCCTTAAATTATACCTTTCCTAGGGCCCTGTCCCTGCTTGGGCAAGTCCTGCCTCCCCACCCCGATGGTCACCTCTGCCCCAAAGCTCCCCACACCGTCCCTGGGACCGGACAAGACCTGGGGCGGCTGGGCCTCCTGCAGTCACGGGGCAGGTGGCACAGGGCAGGCTCTCTGGCAGGGCCAGTGGTGCACAGTGTTCACATTCACAGTTCGGTTTCCCTTCTATTGGGGGAGTGGCCCCGGGCTCCCCGACCCCCCAAATTCCCAGTGTATGATGTGACTATAATCGAAACTCTTCAACCCCATGGTTCGGCCCCACCCCTCTGACAGCTGCCACCTCCACCCCAGGGCCAGGCTGCCACGTGGCAGAGACCACAAACGGCCCTCCAGGGTCTACAGAAAGGCAGGGCTCGCTGTCCTGGCCCCGTCGTCTCCCCCTGTCCGAGCTGGTGAGGTGGAGGCAGCCTGGGAAGCAGCATTCGCACTCGCAGGCGGGCCAGGGGCGTGGGGTAAGGGAGCTGGTGAGGAGGGGGTTTCTGGGCTGGGACTCAGGCCTGGCTCAGGAGCCCTGACACTGCCTGTCCGGGGGTGAGCAGGCTGCTGGCTCTGAGCCACGTCTCAGCCCCGCGCGGGATCAGAGAGGGCGGCTGCTGGAACTCCGAGGGAGGAGTGAGGAAATAGAGACCCTCAGCCTCTGCATTCCTGCCCACCAGAGGCTGCTCCCAGACCTCGCCCACACCGGGCACTCCCCCAGACAGAGCGGTGGCAAAGGGGCACCTGCTCCCTGGCCCGTCGGGAGACACTCAGAGAAAGCCCTGCTGGGGGCCGGAGGGCAGAGTGGGAAGATGTGGTGGGGCCGAGAGTGGCTGGAGGTAGTGGGCGCTCAGGTCAGGAGGATTCTCATCTCTTGGACTGAAAGACAGACAGACAGACGGACCCTGCATCCCCTTCAGCCTTGTTTTCCAGGCTCCCCCCGGGCTTTCTGCCTGGCATTCTGGGGAGCTGCAGGTGTGGCCACAGGCTCCAGATCCCGGGAAGCGCCTAGGCCCTGCTCCCGTATCCACACACAAGCATCTATGTACAGGGACACACCGACACAGACACATACAAGTACACACAAGCATGCACCCATGCCCATAAATACACACACGCGCACCAACATGTACCGTCCCACAGGCAGCCTCTGCCTCCTGGCGTCGCTGTGAGCATCCAATGGGGCCTTGGAGAGGGCGTGTCTCGTCCTCCCCATGACTGCAGGCCCTCCTGCACCCCAGCCCTGGGCTGGCAGTGAGGGGGCAGGAGCAGGTTGTTCCAGGGGCTCCGATGTGAGAGGAGGATCTTATGACTCCAGCAGTCATTTCCACCCTCTCCCCCCTTCCCCCCCCACCGCGCCAGAGGTGCCCCTGTCCCCTGTGGCCACCCTCCCGCCTTCCTCTGAGAGGAGAGCTGAGCTGACCAGGCACGTGGAGGCCCAGCTTCCCTTGCAGCTACGGTGGCCACGTGACTGAGTGCTGACCAGCGAGATGCGGCCAGCAGCAGCTGTGCCGTCCCCGGCTCACGCCGTTAACAGGAAAGGGTGTGCACTCCCGTGTTTTTCTCTGCTTCCCCCAGGCCCGGACGCACGTGATGGCGGGAAGTGGAGAAACACTCTGACCGGAACTGGAAGGGGGGTATGAGGAAAGCAGAGTTGCCTTACTGACCCGGACCAGCCCCCTCTGGACAGTCAAATCAGACACAAGCTGGTCTGGCTTAAAGCACTGTATTTCGGGGTCTTTTCATTACAGCAGCTTAGAACTTAATTTAATGACTACGTCTCCCGCCCCCGTGGGGCAGACTAAGAGGCGAGAGATGACACAGAACTGGCCTCAGTGGCTCCTGGGCCCAGGGCAGCCTCAGGGCTCCTTTCTGACCCCTAGCCAACACCAAGAAGGGGACAAGGGTTACTCCACCAGACACAGTGGAGGGCTGGGGCTGAAGATTCCGGCAGAAAGGGGTGGGGGGCACCCCCATGTCTGACCCCCTAGGCTGGCTGATGTCCCATCCCACCCTGAGAACTGGACCCCTGGCCTTAGAGGACCAAGTGGGAGCCCACTGGACAGAAAGAGAAACGTAAGAAGGAACATCAACCAGGTTCAGAACTGGGAGGACTCCCGGGCCCCGCCTCTGTGTCGGCTCAGGAGCATCTGAGGCCCTGAGGGGAGGTGGGTGGAGGTCCCCGGCTCCTGCCCAGCACTTCCGAGGACCCTGGCTACCTCTCAGCTGGATGCTGTTTTCTATTCCCTCCTTTCCTGGAATCCCGCTTCCTCCTGCACCCCAATGCAACTATTTACAGAGCTGGGGACCTCCTGGCAAGCCCTTCCCACCGCAGGGCCAAAGGCTGGCCTCTCCCAGCAGCTCAGCTCAGCTCCGGGGCCACCAGGAGCTCCTCCAGCCCCCCCACCTCCCGCCCCTGCTTCCCAGTTACCATCATGCACTGTCCGCGGCACCTCCTGGCACAGCTCGCTTGGAGGGCGGAAGGGTCAGCGTCCCCTCTCACCACGAGGAATGCCGGTTTCTGAGGCCTCGGGCCTGATCCCTGATCCACAAGGGCGTGGACAGGGAAGGTTCTCCCACGCATCCGCTTCCGGTCCCCTCTCCCCGGGGGCCCCCCGAGGGCAGGAGGAGGCGGGGAAGACCGCAGGAGGGCGGCCGCACCCCTGCCCCGCCCCCGGCCGCGAGCGTCGCGCACCCTTAGCCTTCCACCGCTTCCGCCCTGGCCCTGGCGGGGGGCCTCCCCTCGCCGCCCCTGCTCCGCGGCCCGCCCTCCGCCGTGCTCCTGGGGCCCTGGTAGGGGTTGTCCAGCAGGTAGCGGAACCGGTGGTAGTTCTGCAGCAGGTACTTGGGGGCGTACATGTGCTCGCCGGGGTCGGCGGGCGGGTACTCCTGCTGCGTGCCGTCGAACCAGCCGCCGGTGCGGATCAGGCTGCGGATGTAGTTGAGGTCCCGCTTGTCCTCGTAGTCGCCCCAGCGCGGGAAGTCCCCGTTCTGGGCGGACACGAGCTTGAAGTGGATGCCTTCGGGGGTGAAGCACCAGGAGCAGTGCCAGCCGGCGAAGTGCAGGGGGCTGCCCAGCGACCACTGCACCAGGATGTGGCCCGTGCGGTTCTCGTACTGCCGGAAGGCGGGCATGGTGTAGTACTGGCGGCGGCGCAGGCGGATGCCGTCCAGCCCGTACACCGAGCGCAGCATGTCCACCGTGCAGCCCGACACCACCTCCAGCGTGCCCGGCTGCTTCCAGAAGAAGCCGTACAGCGACTTGCGCATGTGGAAGGCGAAGGGCTCTGTCCAGCCGTCGTAGAGCTTGAGGAACAGCACGCCGTCGCGCGCGGGGATCTCGTCCGCGTCGTCGATGATGAACACGTCGTCCGGCCGCAGGTTGCGCAGCCGGGCCACGCCGTCCTGCGTCAGGAAGGTGCGCAGGTAGTCGTCGGCGATCCAGCCGTCCTGCCGGCCGCCCGGCGGGAAGTGGTCCAGGAAGACGTACAGCACCTTGTGCCGGATGTACTCGAACGTGCCGTTGGCCAGCATCTCCCGGAACTTGAGCGGCCGCGGCTCCCCGTAGGCCGTGAAGTTGGACTCGCACACCACGAAGGCGTCCACCACGTCGCCCAGCTCGTGGAAGCGCACGTCCAGCAGGTCGAACTCGTGGTTGATGTTGATGGCGTTGATGACCCGCCGCGGCACCTCCCGGGGCACCAGGCGCTCCTTGGTGGGCAGGTTGGAGTGCTGCACCACGGTGGGCACCCCGCAGCTGGGCCCGTGCCAGCCCGGCAGGCACACGCACTCCACCCACTTGCGCCGCGGGCCCCGGCCCCCCGTGCGCTCCCGGGTGCTCAGCAGGTGCCGGGCGGGGCCCCTGGCGAACGAGCCGTCGCCCCCCTCCGTCTTCTCCCCGGACGGCGGCTTCTCCAGCACCCTGGTGCCCGGTTTGAAGCAGACGCCGCCGGCCCTGGTGCGGACAAAGTACTCGGTGGTGTCCTCGGGGAGCACGAAGTCCATGCGGTGGAGGTCCTCGGCGGCCCTGCTCGGGGACAGCGGCTGGAGCAGGGGCGAGTGGGAATAGAGTGGGGTGCGCAGCAGGTCGGGGCTCCCCGGCTCCGGGCTGGCCTGGGGCGTGACGGGGGCATTGTTCCAGAAAAAGCTGGACAGGAGGTTGGGGCTGAGGGAGGCCAGTTCCCTGGGGAAGGTGACGTAGGACAGGGTCTTAAAGAAGTGCAGGAAGGAGATGAGGCACAGGCCGGCCATACAGAACATGAGAAAGAGCTTGTAGCGTCTCATCTTCATCCTGCGGGGAGAGGAGAGCAGGTCAGGGTCGCATTCCTGGGGCAGGGGAAGCCTGAGGCCCTTCTAGGAGCTGGACCTGACCAGGCCTTTGCACCACCGTCTTTGAGAATGCCCGGGCCACTGGCTGGGAACCCTGCTGGCAATCACCTCCTGTGTCCCCCCCCCCCCCCCCAGGCATCAAGCCTGCTGGTCCACCTGCTGTACCCAGTATCTCCAGAACCCCCAGTATCACAGAAACGCCCCTCCTGGTTCAGGACCTCCCTCTGCTCCCTCAGCGCTTCCCTCAGAGACCACCAGGTCACCCACATCCAGCCTCTGCACCCCACCTGCCACCCACCCCGCTCCACCCCAACTGCACCAGTTGCACTGCTCCAGGAACAAAATGCATCCTGGGAAACGCTCAACCCTAAGTGCAGCCTAGCCAGGGGGCTCACGGGCCCCAAAGCAGAGGGGAGCAGACTGCAGACTCGGGGGCCTTTTTGGCACTGCCCAGGGCGAGGTTCTTGTTCATTCGTTCGTTCGTTCTTTCTACCTATTGTACCTTTTCTGGTGGGATAGTGACTAGTCTTTTGAATGCCTTTTCGCTGGGGGAAAAAAAAATCACAGGTCTCAAGGGATGACATTTAATTCTAACATATTTAAAGAATAAAGTTAAGTAAAAGCTCCCCTCATTACTGTGCCTCACACTAGATTGGTCTCCAGGCATAAATAACTTCAGCTATCAGAGGTGTATCGCTGGCTTTAAGATGCAATTTTTCTGTTCTTGGTTTAATAGTTTTCTTAAATACTGGACACTAAGTCCAATCTAATTTTTTTCTCAATCAATAATAAAGAGGTTTTTAGACCCGTAGAAATAAAGCTACCATTTCCTTTTAAATCCTACATAATATTCCATGGTTCTTTTGAATGAATCACCCTATTCATGAGTGATTCATGAATATAACCATTCTCTACTTACACAGTCTAATTTATCAATTCGTTATGGCTGTGGAGGGCCTCCGAAGAGTATTTTTTACAATGTAAGCAGACTTTCTATGTTAGAGTATTTGTAGTTTATCAGAAAAGTTGCCAAGATGGTACAGAGAGTCCCCTTACACTCCTCGCGTCGCCCCAGGGCCAGCATCCTCCATCACACGGACGTTTGTCACAGCGAGTCGCCCACCCCTGGCTGGGCAGTACCTGTGTGTCGGGTCCAAGATGTCCCATCTCGTTCCATTTGAACGCTTGCCCTTCCCGGAGCCTGTCCACAGGTGGCTAGCACAGCGGACTGCAGGCAGGCAGGACAACTGAGGGGGAGAGGGAGGCCCTAACCTCTGCTGAGTGTCAGCTGTCCCAGGGCAGAGGCAGGGCTGGCCGCCACTGGCCTTTGGGAAGGCGGGGGGAGGGGCTGCTCCTTGGCAGCATTTTGAAGGGGGTCTTCGGGGTCCACAGTGGGTTCCAGCAGAATGAGTGGAGGGGCAGTGGGGTGAGGCCCAATAAAGGCAGGCGGGGAGTTGTTGCCATGGCAAGGACCAGGTCAAAGGCAACTGCAAATTGAGGTCAGCACAGCAGAAGCCTCCGGAGTGACCCTCCTAAGGAGTTCAGAGACTGGCAAGGGAGCCCCGATGGCTCCGGCAGACTGTCCCCCCTATTTGGGACCTGCCTCTGCGGGCACCCCCAATCCCTGCCCTGGCTGGAGTGAACTGGAGCTGTGGAGAGCAGGGCAGGACAGGGCCAGGACTGAATCCCGGGGCAGCATCGAACAGAGGCCTTAGCAGGTCGGACACTCAGGGAGGCAAGGGAACACCCTGCTCTTCCCCAAGGGGCACTTTGACCCCACTGAGGTCACAATGCCCAGCTCCCCTGCCAGCCTGGCTTTTAGGCTCTGGTTACCGGGCCAGCTGTGCCCTCCCAAGGACAGACACCAATGCCTGGGATCCATCTCCCTCTGGCTCCGGGGCCTTCAGAGTGCGGCCCCTTTAGAAGGTCCCAGCCTCACTGCTGCCGAGAATCACGGAACTGAGCACGTTTCCCTGTCACTCAGCTGCCAGGAAGCTCAAACTGCACGGAGGTCAGCTCGGAGCAAGTCAGTGCCTCGTAAACTGCATTTTCCCGGACACCTTCACTCAGAGCTGCCGTATTTTTTTAAAATATGTTTTTATTGATTTGAGAGAGGAAGGGAGAGGGAGTGAGAGAGAGAGAAGCATCGTTGTGTAACAGAAACACCAGTCGGTTGCCTCCTGTGCACGTCCCAACCGGAGACTGAACCCGCAGCCTGGGCATGTGCCCTGACCAGGAATCAAACCAGAGACCTTGTGGTGCACAGGACGACACAGCCAACTAAGCCACACCAATCAGGGCCGTATTTTTAAACTCTTATTCTTCCTGGCCTGACTCCTTGTTATCTATCCTCGTGTGTTTCGATAAGTGCTTCAAATAAGTTTGTTTTTAAATCTTAACCCGAGGATAGTTTTTCCATTGATTTTTGGAGAAAACGGAAGGGAGCAGGGGGAGGAGAAGAGAGAGAGGAGAGAAACAATGATGTGAGAGAGACACCTCGATTGGTTGCCTCCCGCATGCACTCTTCTGGGGGCAGGGAACAAACCCGCAACCCAGGTATGTGCCCTTGACCAGGAGTTGAACTCAAGACCCTTGGGTGAGCAGGCTGATGCTCTAACCACTTACCAACACTGGCTGTGGCTTCAATACATTTCTTTTAAAATATATATATATATATTATTAATTTTTTACAGAGAGAAATAGAGAGTTAGAAACATCGATGAGAGAGAAACATCGACCAGCTGCCTCCTGCACACCGCCCACTGGGGATGTGCCCGCAACCAAGGTACATGCCCTTGACCGGAATCGAACTGAGTCAAATCGGTTAGGGCTTCAATACATTTCTTGACTGAGAGGCATAGAAGCAGGAGGTGGAATACATAAGCATTGGAAATGAGGGTCTCCCTAAGTCTCAACCACGCTGGAAGGTCGTTGCGAGGGCTTTGCTTTTACAGACAGGGAAACCGAGACTCAGAGTGCTGATGAGCCTTTCCCCGGTGACACTAAGTAGAGGGTCAGGAATGAACATAAATCATGTTCCCAGGCCAGTGCCTGTTCCCTCCTTACAGCCGAGACGGTGTCCCTCCCCAGCACAGGTGGCCATGGAGCCAACTGGCCAGCCAGCAGCACCTGCGTCCACTGCAAAGCTTCACAGAGAAACCATCAGGTGTAACCATAAAGCGCAGTCACTGACACAACCCAACTGCTGTCCTAAGCACGTCCTACACACAAGCTCACTGAATCCCCCCAACGGAGCAGGTCCCGTTGTCATCCCATTTCACAGGTGAGGAGACTGAGGCCAGGGAGATACTTAGGGTCACACAACCCATAAGGGTCAGACTCGATTCGGGGGGGGGGGGTCAACAGTGAGATTTAATCCAGTGGTAAAGCCATCCTGAGCCCCTTCCATGTGCCAAGTTCAACCCAAGTGGGTGACAGGGTCCGACGAAGTGTCCACTGGTGACGAGGGAAGCAATCGGTGCCATCATCCCAGATGTCCGTCTCCCGGAGGCAGAACTACACCCTCACTCCTCGGAAGCACCCCGCTGCTTCCAGGCGCACATTCCGGACCGGACTGCGCGGTCCCGATGCCGTTTCTGTGTAGCCTTGGGTCGGCTGAAAACGTTCCTGCGCCTCCCTTTCCCATCGATCCCAGGAGCAATAATAATCGCATAAAGTGCCACACACACACCGAGGGCTCCATGAGCTTCAGCTCCTCGTGCTGCTATTGCTGCTCCCCAGCCCGGCAGAGAGCGGAGAGCCTGGGCAGGGGGCGCGGGGGGAGAGAGGAGCAGCTGGGCAAAGGCTCTGCAGGTGCGGTCCAGTCTCAGAGCAACAGGAGCAGAGTGAGGGGCTTAGCAAGTGGAGCCAGGCCAGAGCTCCAGGGAACGGAGCGGCTGTCCGGGAGCCTCCGTAGAAGGACCCCCACATATTCCGTGAGTTGCTCCCAGCCCCAGGGGCTGGGTCTCCTATCTGAGTGGGTGAAGGTGGTGGGGATGGGCCGGGTGCTTCCTGGTGGCCAGTCAATCATGGTTGAGGGAGCCTGATGCTGACCCTGACCCAGGATGGCAGCAGGACCAGCCCACCGGGAGGGTCCCAGCCGGGTAGATTTTCTTCCTTTCCCACCTCTTCGCACTGCTCCCCTGGGCTCCGCTTGGAAGACTGACGGAATGAGGGAGGAAGCAGATGAGCCCAAACCCCATGACACAGTATGATGCGGGGTGGGGCCCAGCAGAGTCCATTGGGGACTGTGGTGAGAGGAGACAGATGCTCCCTGGAGGCGGAGGCTGTGACCTGGAGCTGGCCAGGCGGGCAGCAGCCTCCGGTGCAGACAACCCGGACAGCTGTCACGGGTGCTATCCATGGTCCTGAGCTCTCCTGCGCTGGCCAGGGTCCTAGCTCAGAGCTGGGAGTGCCCTGAGGCGGCGGCCTCTGTGGTTCAGCAGCTCATGGCCACTCCCCCTGCGGGCTCACTCCTGGCCCCCTTCCTCACCGGCCTGAGGAGCCGGATGCTGGGGTCCTCTCTGGGACAGCCGTGGGGCACTCAACGCCTCCGACTGGGAGAAGGGGCCCTGTGGTCTGTGTCCGGCAGCGGGCAGGTCCACCCCCTGGTAGGTGCTCAGGGGTGTGCCCATCAAACCCCCACCCTCAAAGCACTTCAAACAGGCCCTCGCCACCTCTCCAAGAGTTCATCTGTCTGAAAGGGCATCTTGACTTTGAGGTGAGGTGCATCATGGCAGCCAACTCCGCCATGCCCGGCAGCGCCCAAGACACAGAGTAGGCCAGTGGTTACAACGTCAGGTCTGAACACTGTCTCTGACCTTGGCAAGTTATTCCATCACTCTATGCCTCAGTTCCCCCTCTAAATAAAATGGAGGTATAACACTCCCTGTCTCATAGGGTTACTCTGAGAATCTGATCAGTTAATCCATGCCAAGGACTAGTAACCAGGCCTATGCATA